AAAAAAAAACATTTCATAAGGCTATAAATAAAAGTAGTTTTTATGCATTCAAATAATTAGACATATTAAAACACAGAATCTGGCAACAATAAACAAGGTGAAAAAAATAGAACATGTCATAAGACCCATGTAATTTTTGTTAAACTTTTTAATAGATTTGATGTTGAATTGTATACGTTTCATTATTTAATTAGACGTGCTTTTGATTAATACAATTTTATTTAACCATTTAAAAAGGAGTCCAGAAAAAATTAAATGGGGAAAAAAAACAGAATCCAATTTTTTTTTAATTTGGAATAAACATTTTTTACAAAATAAAACGTATTTCATAGGGCCCTAGCCTAGTTATTTATTTATTGTGGTGATTTGAAGGTTGTGTCAAAAAGTTGTTGTTCTAGTCTAGTAGATAAATAACTGTATTCTGTACATTTTTACTCATGTATGATCATTTTCTTCCAAATACGATAATTTTGAGCTTCTGGTACGATACTTGGACATTTCCAATCTGGCAACACTGGTCCGTGGGTGTGACGGCTGAGGCCGAGACTTTAACGGATAATGTCCAGGGCTGTGTTTCTCTAAAGCATCGTGAGATAAGTTGATCGTAGAGGCCATTTGGTGGCAATGGATCTACGATCTACATAGGCTTACGATGCTTTTGAGAAACACAGCCCTAGAAAATTACTAGTAAATTTTCCTAATCATTTTTCTGACAGTGTACTAACTGATCAACAATTGCAGGTACAACCTACTAACAAGTTGTATCACAATAGTTTTTTTGTTTGAAAATGTGTGCCTTTTTTTTGTTTGGATCACTTATCAGAAGTTGCTCAAAAAAATTAAAATAAAAAACAAAAAAGCTAAATTTGTTGCTAGGTGCTTTTAGAAGACAAAGTTGCTAGGGTAATCTGAAAAGTTGCTAAAACTAGCAACAAAATTGCTAAATTTGTAGACACGGTCTGAGGGTGCAAAAAAATCAGTCGCCTTTAAGTTGTCCAAATAAAGTTCTTAGCAATGCATATTAGCTACTTATCAAAAATTAAGTTTTGATATATTACGGTAGGTAATTTACTAAATATCTTCATGGAACATGATCTTTACTTGATATCCTAATGATTTTTGGCATAAAAGAAAAAATGATCATTTTGACCCATACAATGAATTGTTGACTATTGCTACAAATATACCCGTGTTACTTACGACTGGTTTTGTGGTCCAGGGTCACATGTTAAACCCCAAAAATTCTTCATACAGTGGACTACCACTAAAACAAATAAAAACAAAAAATTTGGGACCAAAAATTATTCAGGCACATTGGTTTGCTTAAGTGTTTTCTTTAATTGCTAATGCTACATTTTCACACCACAGACTGAACAGAATTAAGCATTGCTTCGTAATTGGTTGACCTAAATTGGTATTATCTAATTATGTATACTTATATTTAACAGCTGACAGCTATTCAACCATAATTCATTACATACCTATCAGTTATTTGACATTATCAAGATGAATTTGTTCTGACACAGTTTGACATTGAGTTCTTGTCATATTTTACTACCATATTCTAAACTATAGCGAATAAACTGATAATGTGAGAAATGTTGAAGGTGTCTGATTAAATGTTAGTTTGACTGTAACGTTATATGAAAGTGCTGCTCTCTAGTGGTGCTGTGGGTATTCATGCTATGTAAATCTATTTATCGTCATTAAAATAAACTTAAGTGATGTTTGAAAACACTGTTAACCTGCAAAATGATGAAAATCCAAATATCTATAAAGACTTTAATGTACGGCGAGTGAAATGTTATTACCTGAAAGTTGGAAAAAGCCTCTTTGGGAACGCTGTTCTCAATCAAAACAGGAGCATTCTCGAGTCCGCCACTCAGATCTCGGCTGTATGGTCGCATCATGTCTTTTTTTGTACGTTTCTGTCTGATTCCGATGTGAAAGAGGACATTATTAACCTGGGGTTTGTTATGAATATCGATGTATTCATGTAAGAAACACGAACGGAAGCGGAAATGCTACAACGCTCGAAGTCGAGGCAAAATAAAAGTACAGACACGCATTCTTTTCAGCCTTTAGACTAGAGACTGTAGAATTCTTGTTACATAAAGACGTTCTTAGGATTCTATTTGTTACATAAATCTTCACGTTCATGCTGTTATGAATTGAACATTTTTTTTTTTTTTTAAAGATGCTACCGAGTGTAGTTGCTTGTAACCCATACTTTAAAAAGGTTTATTCTGCTTTCAGCAACTGTTGGCATGTGTAGGATTAAAACATACCGATTTTAGTTTAATATTTGTTATTTATTATAGGTTATAGAAACGTTCACAAAATGACACGAGACTTCTTGTAACAAAATCGTGCTTATTTGAATTGTCTATGAAAACAAGAGTTTCAGTTTTGTGAAGTCTTTCAAATCAATGCATCAATACCGATTAAAAACAGGCTGGGGGAAAAACATAACATCTGTCCATGAGTCAATATTTTCTGATCGTCTCTCTCTCTATGTATACACACAAATTAATTGCAACTTTTAAAAATATAATAATAAAAAACATTTTGTCAAAATATTGATGGCAAAGGCACTAATTTAACCACAAACATGACTGTTTAAATGGTTTAGTTTTTTATTTAATGATTAACCACAAAAACATCTTAATAACAGACACTGAGACATAAAATTGTGTAAATACAGAAAAGCACTAAACACTTTAAAAACAGTCTGATTGGCACTTTAGTGCTTTCCATCCACCTCTGACTGGCATTTTTTTATGCAGATGTTTGTTGCATGATAAATGTACAGCAGGCAGCAATGTATTTCAAACACACATTTTTGTAATTTAACAAGAGGACAGACTTGTAAAACACAGGGGGGCAAATCAAAAATCAAACAATTATTAGCTATTCATTAAAAGAAACAAGACATATTGTCTGTTTATCCATGGTATTTTCAGTCAATATTTTCATGACCGTTAATATATTGCATGGAGAGTTCAACAGTTGTTTAATAGCAGATCAGAACCAAACGATATACGACACTGGCCTGTTAGCATGAGCAAGCACCACAGAGACAGTAACAGATTGCCTGACAGATCAAAAAAATAAAGGACCAGATACAGTATAACCTCAGCCATACTCAGGCAAGAAATGAGGCAAACACATATCTGCTTATAGCACAGACTTCATCACAATGGTCCCATACAGAAATGAACTGATCTACCACAGCCAACCATTCGAAATTTAGTTTGAGTAATTAAAGTAAATGAAAAAGACAGGAGGTGAGTGTTCGTAGCCATCATCTTGACTTTGGCGTCGACCCAGGACGATGTCTAAGTCAAGGTTTCCCCTTTTGTGACCTTAAGAGACAAAACAAATTGGCTTTATTTCAAGCAAATTAAAACAAGAAGGTCCTGTAAAGTCTTGCTATTGACTTAAAACATACTCTGGCTTCAATGTACTCAATCCTCCTCTCCAAAGCAGTAAGCTTCTCATTCAAAGTGGCTAAACGGGACCTGCAGGACATATCTGGGGGGAAATCAGAAACATTTCTGTATTAGGACACATACGAGAAATGCCATAATTTGCATGCATGCATGAATAAATAATTAAAATGGCAAAAATAAGTTATTCATATAATTATTAATAATATAAATTATAATATTAACAATCTATATAATTATAAATATCACTCAATAATAATTAGGCCTATTATAATGATGTATACAAAATATTTGTTATAAATAAGTGACCTTTTTGTTCAATTATAGACATTACAGTATGCTGTACTAGCACTGAAATTGGGGCTGGTTTATCAAAACAAACTGCATTAGTATTTACATTAGTTCACCCTGTTTGGCTCTTTGACTATAAGCAAAGATATTAAATGTGTATTGAAATACGTTTATTTCAGTATAGCAAGCAATTAAATAATCACATTAACATTATATTTATTGTCAAAATAGTGCAAATCTGAAACATGAACGACAAGACCAGCATTAGACCAACCCAACGCCCTGCATGTGTTCCTGGTCACTGCACTGCCTGTATGCCTAATAAACTGCTTCTTCAACATATATATACTCACTTAGTATGTTATTACTTGGTTCTAAACGACATTCAAAAACAAAACAACTGATGTGACCCACATATTTTCCACACGTTACGCAGTCGAATGACCCACTTCTCTCGATTAGCATGCTAGCGTCAACAAATGGCGTAATAAATTATGCCAAAATAAAAGACAAGCCGCAGATAAGTTACTCCATCTTACCGAAGGAATTGAGGAAATCGGCTATTTTCTTAATGCTGCTGGTGATCACTTCGATATATTCACGGTTCGCCCAGTCTTGATGAATTTCCCTTTGCACGGGATCCTCCTGTCCGGCCATCGCGAGCTAGTTAGCGTTAGCATTAGCCGCTGACTGAGAGGAAGGAGCAGCGCCCCCTGATGGACAAACACACCGTTCATTGTGGATACTACGGGGAAACGAATGGAGGGATCTTCTTCTTCTTGTACGATTTTATGACGGTTGGCAAACCAACTTATGGTGTATTACCGCCACCAACTGGACTGGAGTGTGAAGCATTAACGGGAAAGAGGGAAAAAGGAACTAAAAAAAAAACATATATATAGTGAAATGAATTACTCTATGTTTCTCAGTTTCTTAAATACCCCCTCTCTTTCTTTGGTATATACTGCACAATGTAAAAGTACATGCTCAATAGTCGAATGGAGGGATCATTTGAAAATAAACACAAATAGGCGATTTGAAAAAGTATTTCAATAAGTAAAAGGTGAGTAACCGCATTATAGAAATTGAAAACAAAATGACATTATATAAACGCTGGGTTTCGACTTGACTGAAATCATATATATCATGATATTCTTAACTCTTTAGAATGCTGCCAGCGCGTGCGAACGTAATAAACGGGGGAAAAATACACAAACAGAAAAATAATAACATTCTGATGCACGTCGTTAACAGATATTAAACTCCGACCATAACATATCTGGAGATTCATAACGGATCAGCCTTCAATCAAAGTATATGCCTCTATCTATATTAACATTTTCGACTATTGTTCATTTCTAACTGTGTACTGATGTGTGGCCGTTCTTAGCATTGAAATGATTATCATTAGGCTACCCGTTCTGGCTTACTTTCATATCCACTTTTTTTTTTTAACGTTAGAGGCCACAAAACTTCAGTGTGCGAGACTTCCGGTATCACCCCCGTCCAGTTATTTTTAACAGTACAAAACTAAACATTGTGGCTTCATATTGCAAACTGTTATTTCTTATCATATTGTATTGTCGTAATTATAAACACATAGTTTTACCGTTTATTGCACTATATTCTTCTAGATATTTATAGCAGCTGAATTGGAAGTCTTACACATTCACAGAAAATAGCTTACTTGCGTGTTGTAAAATAAGGTGGATAGCCTATTACCATGTCCAAAAACAGTAATATTATGGTACTACTGTTTTATCATATTAAAGTATTTTGACCTGAATTGTTCAGAGGTCACTAATAAGCACTATCGGAATTGTTTGACGGTATAGTAGTGTGTGAACTGTTTTTGTTGTGTAACATATTGTGCTTAATTGTTTTAAATCATTAGAGCGATGTCAAGCAAGTTTAGAAACTGTAGGCGAAGCCTTGCTGCCGCTTTGGATCAGGCAGCAGAAGAGGTTCCTGATTTATCATCATGGTCTCCAAACAACTGCAGCCTGATTAGAACATCACAGGATGGCACGTATGTATTTGACCACTGCACAGAGAGGCCAGATTGCATGTGTTTTTTTGTGCGTATACTGTTCTATCAGTGATAAATGTGCTGCAGTTGGCCTAATTATCATGCCTGTCACCAATAACGAGGGCGTTTTCTATAAATAGGAATGAAGACTTTCAGTGCCGCACACGGTCTGCAAAACCGCAAGATCTTCATGGTCTCCTCGGTCAGTTTTATCATCATCAAAATCATTTCAGGCATGAGACTTGCCAGTTTTGAACTAATTCCCTTCTCTATTTTCAGATGCACAGACCTTGGAGGATCTTGTGGCAAAGCTGGAGTTTGAAAACGAGCTGAACCGCGTCTACAGTAGATTCCTGCAAAGTAAAAACCAAGACCATGGAAAGAACACAGAAAGTGTGAATAGCGATGTGGAAGAGGCAAGTACAGGCTGCTGGGTTCACGATAGTAAGGAGGAATATTCCTTCTTGCTAGACATGATTCTTGAGATTGAGCGGGACAATGACTTCACTGCTGACTGTGATGTCAGTGCTTTGGAGCGGGACTTACAGTTATCACCATAGTTTTGGTGGAAACGGGGTCATTTCCAAAAGAAAATATAAGCTACTAATAAATTGGGGCTACTTGCAAAGTTGTATAGATGTATGTTTGTATAGCAATACAGTATATACAGTACATGTCATTCTTAATTAGTACTTGTGTAAATTAATTTATTTCTGCACTACACTCTTAAAAATGCTGGGTAAAATAGGGACAAACCCAGCAATTGGGTTGTTTTGACCCAGCGGTTTGGTTAAATGTTTAACCCAACCTTCTGATTAGTAACCCTAACCCAACCGCTGGGTCAAAACAGCTTTTTTTTAGAGTGTAGGAATCAATATCAATAAAACAGATTAATAATCACTCCATTCTAAAGGACAAATTATCAATTTTTTAACATTGATCTGTTTAAATTACAAGGAAAAAAACTACATTGTCTGACTGACACTGAATAAAATACACATGGTTCGTCAGCACTGGTGGTAAAATATTATATTTGTTAAGAAATATTGCTATTGATCTAAGTTTTCATTTCAATTTTATGTTTTTTCTATATCTATATATTTATTAGACTGAATAAAATAGTAGAAATATTACTATTGGTCTTTCTCTACCGTTTTGAATTTTATTTAAATTTACAAATATTTTATATTTGCTTGTTATAATATCAGTTTATGACAAAATAAACAGTGTTATTCTTTTCAGTTCCACTTTCTGATTTCTCCACTTCACAAGTGCTGGTGGTAAAATATTTATGGGTCACGGGCATTGGCGGTAAAAATATTATTTTTGTTTATAATAGTAAAAACATTACTATTAATCTAAACACTTTTACATTTTTTAATTTGTTCTAAAATCTATATACTTATAACTGAATAAAACATTTACAGGTCATGGACACTGGTGGTAAATATGCTTTTATTTAGAAATGGTAGAAATATTACTGTGGATCTATATGGTTTAAATTTTTTGTTGTATCTATATACAAAACTGCTGCTTAATTTGAATATCAATTCAAAATAACATGTCTGTGTCATTCTGATTATGTAAATGACTAGATAAGCATATGACACATAACATAAGTATATGACTATTTTCAAGTTCCACTTTCTGATTTCTCCACTTCACAAGTGCTGGTGGTAAAATATTTATGGGTCACGGGCATTGGCGGTAAAAATATTATTTTTGTTTATAATAGTAAAAACATTACTATTAATCTAAACACTTTTACATTTTTTAATTTGTTCTAAAATCTATATACTTATAACGGAATAAAACATTTACAGGTCATGGACACTGGTGGTAAATATGCTTTTATTTAGAAATGGTAGAAATATTACTGTGGATCTATATGGTTTTAATTTTTTGTTGTATCTATATACAAAACTGCTGCTTAATTTGAATATCAATTCAAAATAACAAGTCTGTCATTCTGATTATGTAATTGACTAGATAAGCATATGACACATAACATAAGTATATGACTATTTTCAGCGTTTGCGCAGTGTCAACATGACAAAGCATAATCTAAACTGGATTCAGTATTATGCTGATCATTAAAACTTAAGTTTATTTAGTTAGAGAATAATACATTTTAACTGTGCATTATAACACCCACAGTACTAACTTGTGCCAAGGGGAAATATGTAGTATGTGACTTAAAATTAATAAAAAATAAATAAATAAATGTGGAAGTGAAAGTGTAAGGCTGAGGTTTGTCATATGAACTGCTTCTGTTTTTTTGTTCAGTGTCGTGAACAGAAATAAGGAACAGAAAGTTTTTTTTTTTAAAGTTTTATTTTGGTTAACAGTTGAAAGATAAAACCTGAGCTGTGCAGTTCATGGATAAATTACAACTATTATAATAAACATTTACAGTTACATCAGAAGCTTCCCTCAGAAAGGTTTTAGGAAGCATCTTCATTAAGTAAACAGTCTAAAAATCAGCCGCACTTTAATCATGTCTGCACAGTCGGCCTATATCAAACAACAATCTCCAAGTGATATGGAATGGACGGTCTATCTCACATGGCCACAACACCAGGAGGTTGCCAGGTTTATTTCATCCTCTTCAGAAGCTCTTTGATATCTGCTTCAATGTCGATGGTGAGGAACCTTCTGCTGTATCTCTTGAACGGTTCCCCTTCCGGGCCGATGAGGAACTTCTCAAAGTTCCAGGAGACGTCATTCCTGTTCACCGGACTCCAGATGATGAATTTGGGATCACCCATCAAGGACACAGAGTCGTCACTGGGCTGAGGCAGCTTCTCCTTGAGGAACACAAACAGAGGGTGGGCGTTCTCACCGTTCACTTCCAGCTTCTCCAGAAGTTGGAATTTTGGCTCGAAGCCATTTCCAGGACGGACATACTTCAGAGACAGCAGAATTTCATCATTCTTGCAGTTCTCCTGTTGAGCAACCAAAATTGCACAATATGTTAAGCAATAAAGCAGATAACGGCATGTGAGCATAGAATCAGTTAACAACGCAGGTTTTGTCCATTGTCATTGCTATCAAAAATGAACAAAGCTTTGCTGATAGCGATAACAGATTGTGAAATATTTCAATCACTTCTACAATGCAAACCACTGAAAATGGGAATTAGAATATTATTTAATATTAATATATTATTTCATATACAACAACAAAATATATATCAATTTTAAATATATAAAAAGCATTAATGTATTGAAAACAACAACAATATTAATATACAAAACATACATATATATAGTATTTTAAATTCTTAAAAATAAATACATAACACTATAAATACTGTATTTATGATCAATATATTGATTAGTTCAAATCTATAATATAATTTATATTATATATTAGGGCTGGGTTTGACACAAATTTCACAATTCGATTCTCGTTCACAAGCTTTCGATTCGATTACCAATTTGATTTGATTCAATATCGATTATTTTGGATATATATCAGGTACAGTACATGTCAAATTTTCTCAAGGAAAGAAATCTCTCGACTAATGCTGTAAAATATACATGAGAGCTAGTTGGTACTACATTACTATAATATTGAAGGTTAAAATTGATGTTAAAATTATACTAAATGAAGTTTTTAAAATAATAAAGTTACAATTACATAATAATATTTCTACTTCAATTCTTTTTATTTTATTTTATATAAACAATGGTGGCTGACATAAAAACTTGATGGATTTATTCAAAGAAATTAAACATTGAAGAAGAGTAAAATTTATAATGAATATGTTATATGGTGCATATATTTAGCAAAATGCTCCTCTCTACAGTTTATTTTTCTATCTGACTAATGAGTTTATGGTCACAAATGTTTTTTTCTGAGGTAAATGTGACGTTATGTGACATTGTTTACAAGACATTATATTGACGTCTTTGCGCAGAGGAAACACTGATTGAGCGATTACATGAGACAGGATACGGATTGTAAAGTTGTACTCTTTCTTTTAACTTACCTTCGGATGTTTAGTCATGTTTATTTTGTGCTGAAACTAGTATTAATGTGGAGGAGACGATCAGTTCACGTGCGCCTCGTGCTACTGCCTCTGTTGAACTGAGGCACTACAGTGATCTGTCACTCCACAATATATATATATATTAGTGCTGTCAAACGGGCAATTAATCGCGATTAATCGAATACAAAATACAAGTTTTTGTTTGTGTGTGTATATTTATTATGTAAATATAAATACAAATGCGTGCATGTATATATTTAAGAAAAATATTATATGATTATATAATAAATATATTTATATATAATATAAAATATAAGAATATGAATATATAAATGTATAAACATAAATGTTTTCAAAATGTATAATGTGTGTGTATTTATATATACATAAATATACACAGTACACATACATATATAATGTAAACAAAAACTTTTGGATGCGATTAATCGCGATTAATTGTTTGACAGCACTAATATATATAAATTAAAATTAAGTACTTTAAATTCTTAAAAATAAATACATAACACTACAAATATCTGTATTTATGATCAATACATTAATATAAGTTATAATCTCTAACACAATTGATCCTTTAAACATCTGAAAAAAAGGAGTAAGTGAAGAATGAGCCACTGTCTCACCTGATGTCCGAACTGGTTGCAGGGAGCGCCCAGGATCACGAGCCCCTGATCAGCGTAGCGGCTGTGGAGCTCGTTCATCTGGGTGTAATCCCTGACTGTTGTGCCTCAAAGCGACGCCACATTTTCAATAAGCACCACTTTACCTTTGAGGGAGGAAAAATTCAGGAGGTCCCCTGACAAAAGTTTGGCGGACAGATCATAAAACTTCTTCGCGGCCCCTGCCATGCTCGAACACGCCGTTTACTACGCAGTTCGAAGCGCAAAGGGATGTTTTACCAACTAACCTTCAGTTGAACCTTGAACTGAACCTTGAGTCACAGGGAGAGGAGGCGCGTAAATACAATTCAAGGAAGTGCACGTTGCAGCTTGGGAGGTCAGCAAGAGGTCAACACTGGTAAAATACTGCCACCTTCTGTCAAATGGGTGTATTGTAGTGATGTTACGTATGACACTGAAGCTTCAGAGCGCGTATATAAGCGGCGCGATTTCTCACGAAGCTCTGTGCCGGAGCGCGTATTGTTTTCGGAGAATCACGTGATCAGCAGAAAAGAAGCCTCACTATCTGTCCAATCACGTGCGCGTGTCGGAATGTTCGAAACATCTTACTTCACGAGTAAGTTTTCATTCAGAGTTATTCAATTACATTTTTAAATACCCAGCCATACAAGTAATATGAAGAATAAAAACTATTTCAGAAAAAAAAAAACATTGGCATGTGCAATTCATATGTGTACATTATTCTTCTATTACATCATATTGATATTCATATTGGCATTTAATGCCACAGTTTAATGGGTAACTTGTATTATCAGAGAGAGGATTTTAACAAACACACACACACACACACACACACACACTATTTTCACAGGCTGTGACGAAGTAGTATGTCCCAAAGCTTGCCTGCTATTCTTCTACATACTCAAAAGTGTGTACTTTTTCTTCACAAAAAGAGTTCATACTTTTAGGGCATAGTATAAGTAGGCGAATTGGGACGCAGCATATGTTTGGAGAGTAATTTGCAGCAGCTCCGAACTTGGCTCAACCAATCAGAATCAAGGACCGGAACTATCCGCTTATTACCATGGTTTTACCATAGACATAATCATGAGTCACAGCCACTGATAAAACAAACAAAAAACATGTTTTTTTGTATTTAAACCAAGGTAAACACAAAGTAGCCATGGGTTTGCTACACCGACCACAGTTTAACCATGGTATTTGTATAAAACTGTGCTTTAAAAAGGGGGAAAAAAAGGTTGCTACACTTTTACTATAATAAAACCATGGTTAAATTTTCGTAAGGGTATTAGGCTATTAAAGTAACTCCATATTAAAGTAGCTTACTTTTCGTCCCATGCGTCAAAAAATCAGTAGAATGGAAACAATTTCTCCATCTGTTTGGCAAGATATCTTCTTTTTAAGTGTGATTTTTCAAATGTTGTCAACTTTTTTTATTGTCGGGCACATATCATATTCATACATACAAATTGAAAAACAAATGTAAGTCCTCCTTTAAAAAAATAAAAAAATTATATGTATATATATATAGTGAGTTTGTCTATTTCGCCGTGTCCTGTACGTGATGTTGCATAAAGCCAGTCCGAACCAAATACAATCCACATACATGACGAAACTTGAACAGTTTCGAAAAACGTTCTGTATTAAACTATAAATGACACGTATCAGTGACAGTAAATTGTTAGCGTTTAGAAAAGAAACAAACCAGTCGTTCACTTTTTAAGTAGTAAATACCTCCCACCCCTATAACAAGCGAATGGTTCCGTCCAGGAAGCTCGAGCGCGAGCTGTTCTGTGTTTAGGGAAGTGAACCTGCGCTTCTGAGTGACTGCGCCCCATCCGCAACTAAGTTCTGATTTTTATTAAAAAATCCTCTAATCTGAGTCAATTTCTTCTTTAACTAATGCAGTCGCTCAAGTAAAAGCGGATGATTTTTGAATGAATGGACCAGAGAGACTGTTATGCTCGATAAGAGCAGCTCTCGGTTATTCTTTTGCACTTTAACCTCACAATACAGCATTCAGCGGACATGTGGGAATGGCAGATTTTGAGTCTCACAGGCTTCATCTCTCTAGTTCTTTTTCTCGTAGCTGTATGTTATATTTTGTACTCTGGACTGACCACTGAAATCCACATCAGGACTGGTTTACCTCCGGTCAGGAGCATCACTGTAGCCTATAAATACAAAGTGGGACCTTATAAAGACTGTGGGTCGCTGTTCAGAGAGAGCTGCAGCATTGGACCCAAGCTGCCATGCATAGGGATCTTTTATGATGATCCAAAGAAAGTGAGTAGACCTTTGAATGAATGAGGACACTAGTGTACCTTGATGGGGGGCCCTTAGGGGACTATTTATTGCTATGTCAAGAAGACACTGTTTTATTGCTGCATTGACAATATTGTATGATTTTTGGAGTTCATAATGGTAACGTTTAACATCGAGACCAAACTTAGTGTGACAGTTGGATCAGTGATTGATTTACAGCTGAAAGTTATTCTAGAAAAGTCTATATCTTATCTTTAGAGAAATGTATTTATTTATGTATTACATTTCTATACATTGATATGATGGCAAAGCTTTATTGAAATTAATATTAAATTATAATAAGATTCAGTGATTGATTTACAGCTGAAAGTTATTCTAGAAAAGTCTATATCTTATTATCTTTAGAGAAATGTATTTATTTATGTATTACATTTCTATACATTGATATGATGGCAAAGCTTTATTGAAATTAATATTAAATTATAGTAAGAAGAAATGTTTCTTGAACAGCAAATCAGCTAAATCGAATCATATTAGAATGATTTCTGATGGATCATGTGACACTGAAGACTGGAGTTTCCATTCAGTTTACCATCACTGAAATAAATTACATTTTAAAAACTATTACAAAACAAATTTAAAATACATTTATTTATTTATTTAAATACCATTCCAAACCTTTGACCCCCACTGTATGTATGTATCTATCTATCTATCTATCTATCTATCTATCTATCTATCTATCTATCTATCTATCTATCTATCTGTGTATATATAGGGTGAATTGAGGTAAAGTGGCCTGCTTGTAATTTCTTTTATTACTACCTTTGTTAATCTTAAGGTCCAGCTGTAATATTTTTTAGTTAAATTCAGTTCATATGATCTGTTATTGGAAAGGTATATGCCAATAAACATTTTGAGATGGACTCCAGGCTAATCAGTTGGTCTGGTAAAGTGGACCACCTCTGTTTGTTCAAAAAATTATCCATTATGCTTTTTTTAAAGTGCTGTCAAACGATTAACCACGATTAATCGCATCCAGAATAAAAGTTTGCTTACATTATATATAAATACACCCACATACAGTATATATTTAGAAAATATTTACGTTTATACATTTATATATTCATATTCTTATATTTTATATTATATATAAATATATTTAATATGGAAATATAACATTATAACATAATATTTTATAATATATTTTGTATTTAATATATTTAATATAACATAATATTTTTCTTAAATATATACATGCATGTGTTTGTATTTATATATACTCAATAAATATACACAGTATACATTATATATATTATGTAAACATATATAATATATAGCATATATTATGTAAACAAAAACTTTTATTTTGGATGCGATTAATCGTTTGACACCACTACTTTTTAAAAAAAGTTTATTAACATTATCAAACAAACGTATTGAGCTTAGACTAGTAAAATTGTTCCCTCAAAAGTTCCCTTAATTCATGCATAAATTAACAAACTGACATTAAATTTGATAAATATCATTCATAATATCAATAACTTTACAGCATATTAAAGATGTGACTACAACACGTCCAACAACTAATAGGCTAACAAAAAAAAACATAATAAGACGAACAAATGTAATATTGTAAAACTTTTTTTCCTGTCTCTTCAATTTTAGTTGTGACCTGTTAAAGCTTTAAATTCTGCATCTATTTAGCTCCTATCATCCTTTTTTCCCTCCAGATTCAGCTTCATGTCTTGCCTTCCTTTCTGCTCTCTTCCCTTTCTTCCATCTCTGACTTGAATTTCCTGACTGGACCCTTTTTTCTAGTCAATTATGCATTGCAATTATAAAATAATCAATGAATGTGAATTGGTTTAATTAATGTGAGTAGAATTAGTGAAAGTTCAAGATGGCCCACTTTATCTAGCACATTCAGCCAATTTTTCCCCTAAAATTATTATTTTCAATTTAATCCATTTTAACTACAGTAACACATAGTAGACGTACTGTCACAGTACTTTGAGGCGTAGCCACAATTACCAGGGTCATATTGCGTAATAACCAAAACTATTTTAGCATTTAAAAAAAATAGCGTTCTTACCTTTAATTAAAGCCCATTGTATTCTCTGAAAGTGTAACCCCCTTGAGCACAGTTTATATTGGGTTTAAACTGCCAACTTTACCTGATGGCTCACTTGGCACATTACATTTAGGAGAAAATACTGCAAATTAAAGGCATAATGTGATTTGTTTTGTATTTTCCCTTAATTTCCATTAGAAATTCCATATATATGCTGCTCATTAGTGGCATAATGTTATTTGTACTGTATATTGCACAGACAATAGAAAAGCACCTGCAGAAAACATCTATTTAAAATGTACTAAACGTCTAATTCCCTCAGCCATCACCACTCTCATTATATCAGACTAATATATATGCCATGTGTGAATAACACAGTTATAGTAGTAGCTGTGAAGTGAACGTTGTGACTTCAGAGCTGCCTGTGCCTTTTCCTGTTTAATGATCACTCAATATGCAGCGCATATCTTACACATGCATTACACTTTAATTCCCTCATGAAAGTAAATTGCTTCTATTACTTTAGTGAATTCATTTAATTCAAATTTGCTGTTTAGTTTGTTTGTTTGGCTGTGTAATCTATTTCCCTCCAAGTAGGCTAATCTCATACAAAGGTCTTACAAGAGGGCTTTTCATTAGAGATGTTATGCACACAAAGTCTGTATTGTATATGTCTTCTATTAAGTGTTATTTTGAATCAATATTCTTTATTAAATTCAAGTGTGTTGGTGATTTAAATCAAGTTCTATTAGTTGTTGATCCTCATTCACCACTAGATGGAGGTGTTGATATAGTCATTTTGTAGACTAATGTTGATTATGCAGTTGACCATGTGGGGGTGGAATATGTTTGTATGTTCTGATATTTTGATATAATTGGATTTTCTGTTATTGTGTGGCTCTTATCGCATATAATCTCATTTTATCATATATAATCATGATAAATGGTGTTAAATTTTCCTTATTGCAAAATGCATCTCGCAGTGTAAATGCATTATTACTAAAGCCAGCAAATTAGTCATGGCTATTACATTATATTATGTTTTTACTTTGTTTTCCCCAGCAGTGAAATAAAGCCTGCATTTGGACCCTAACCCACGTTCACACGGTGTGATTCCTGACCGCGCCGTGACAAAAACTGGGTTTGACTGATTACATTTACATTTATCTTTAACAGCAGTGTTCCTACTAAAGTAAAAAGAGTGGCAACATTAAAGGAACGGGAAGAAATTCTTTCAACAAATTTTCACCTTCATGTAGTTCCAAACCACTTTCTTTACAAAAATATATTTTGTATAATGTACTCTCTCTTTTCCGTGCAATTACAAGAAATGCTTTTTTTATGATAAAATGACCCAAGTTAGATCACTTTTGACTCTTTCAGACCAGCCCTTTCAATCAGATCAATCAATTCATTGTCAAGATCTGACTCAAAAGAACAATTCATTCATAAATCTTTGAAAGTTCTAGTTCAAGCTTAAATGTCTCTTTGCTGTTCCAAGAAAAGATCAGCTCAAAAATGATAAAATAGTTCCAGTGGTGTTTCAATGCTGTATACAAGTCAAGCAGATCATATATTGTTATTATACTGTATATGTGCATTTAAGTCCTACGAGCTAAATTCTGATGTTGTTTGGATTCAGTTCAGATTCAGTTCAGTACAGATAGTAGAGAATGGATGAGGGCAAGCGTAAGTAGCCGACTGAAGCCATCTAGGGTGTGTGGTTTAATTTAGAGAAAGGCACCAAGGTAATTATTATTGCATGAACCTGAGCCTGGGCTGAACTTGATCTCAGAATGTCATAAAGAGGAAAACAGAAAAGGTAAAATGTGTCTGAGTTGGTGCCCTATACTTCGCTTGGCCTTAGTGCCCTCACACTTTTAGGGAATATAAATGAGCTCATAGCACAACTTCTGTGACTGTTCATCTGACCTTCAGTGGCTCCAGTTGCCGTCTGGGTTCAATAACTTTTCAAGTTGTTTAGTTCTCACAAAGTTTGCAACAGAGTGTTTTGTTTGGGATTTAGGAGTGTATTTATATATTTATGTATGTAAAAAAAAAACTCAACAGGAGCTAAGGGGACGATCAAAAAATAACCATCATTTCTGCAGCAGAGGAAGAGCAGAAACCCACCATCCTGTTCTAGACGATGCTTGTAATCAGTTTGTGTAGGCTGACGGTGTTACTGGAATTATTTCTTGGCAAAGAAAGTCTCTTGGATTTCTTGTTTGTGCACAAGACTTTCTTGCATTATCACATTTCTCACACTTCCTGCCCACCTCCTCCTTGACCAGTCAAAGTGGTTAATGTGTACTCAACCTCCCACCAGAAAGCCCTACTGGAATAGAGTCTGACTCTTGATTGACAGCTCGGTCATACTTTCAAAAGCTCATTGTCAATGAGACTTTTTTTTTTCTTTCCCCAAGTCCCCAATTAGCAACTGTCCAAAGCTCCACACATACAGCCATGGCCAAGTCCTGATCTAGTTCAGCTAATTGGCATAATGATCTCAGCTCGTTAAGAGAGAAGCCTGGGGTGCTAAACCTGGGGGTCAGTAGCTCCCAATGGCTGCTGATAGAAAGTAGAGAGAGGCAGGAGCAGGATTGGAAAACAATGGACTTCTCTGGGATGAAGGATTTTACCACAAGGATTGGCGTGAGCACCGTGGTCCCTCTATTTCTGATTCACTGACTGCTACTGTAGTCTGCAAGCCTGCAGACTTTTGGGAACTTCCTCTCATCAGGCCAAACAATGCGGTGGAAGTGAAAGCCCATGGGTCTGAAGATGGTTGCCATGGATAAGAAGAGCCGGGGAGACTTCTTCACATGCCGGATTCTGTGAAGGGCCATGAAAGGCATTCCAGTCCCTAAGTGATGGAGAGTTTTAGGGTTTGCTCTTTCTCTGTTCTCCACATCGGCCTTTTGCAAGTCAGTCGAAAAGATGAAAA